CCACAGTTAAGCCAATTACGGTGAAGTTGACGAGATGCTGGCCGACGAAGTGAAGTCGGCAGACGGCATTGAGCCTTAGCGGTCGTCGACATGGCGCCGACTTACAAGCGTTATTCTCAAGTCGCTCGTGTCGGCGTCGCCTAAGGGGACAACTTCTGGTCGACCAAGCATCACCGGTCGACGAAATTCTGCTTGTGCGATAATTTCGCCCAAGGCGGTGTTGGCGAAAGTTTGCCTGTGTGATTAGCACTATGTGCTGTACAACCTGGCACATACGCAATGTGCATCACGTGCACGACATTCACCCAACCGTCTGTTGTGCAAACCTACACATACTTGGTAGGTGTCATGCATGTGCACATTTGTTCACATACAACTGCAATGCTGGCAGACCGCACTGGTGCAGAGTTGGCACGCTGCCTTCCTGCTACGTTGGCAAGCTGCATTCGTGCTGCGCTAGATTGTCGCCTTGCTGGTTTGCTAGGTGTATTGCATTGCATCATTGTAGTATTGACTTTGTTATTTCGACTTTGTCGTGCCATTGTACTATTGTTGTTCTAACTTTTCCTAATGAAACTCTTGTTGTACGAGCAGAGCACAAGCCTTAGGTAACGCGATGGTCACCCGTACAACTTGTAACGTACCACTAGTCTACTCCCGTTATAAAGTGACTCCCTGCATGCGTTTTGCTATAATTTTTATAGAACAACAAAACACGATAAATGATAGTGTTGAACCTATTGGTACACAAGGACGATTACTTCCATTATAAAAATATTTTTTGAGGTAGAAACAGTCTGGAGGGGCTAAAGCAACTGGTTGACTACCAGATAGTACAAGCGTATGTCAGAAAGCTAAAGCTGGTTAGGCTTAAGAGCCATGGCTAGAGTAGCTTAGTAGCTTAGGTTTAGGGTTGAAGAGGAATGTCGAGAGAGTTCCAAAGGAGAAAATGTGTTCAATAAAGAGAGAAGGTACAAGGATATAGGCAAAGCAAGTATGGTGCACCACCAAACAATGTAATACTACACTAACTACTGCTACAAGCAGTTTATATAAGAAATATACTTCAACAGCGTATGGGTCCACGTAATTATATAAAAATATGAATGGAATGTACACACGAATGATAGATGAGCGTGTGGAAGGTTCACGTCGTAGTTGAATGACGTTTGGGACCAATGATAAGGGTGGGATGGGATGGTACGTAGGATCAATAAAATGAGTATGCAGAGCATGTTTGAGAGATTGTGGTTCCATAGAAGCAATGGCTCTGCAAATAACTACAGTCACAAAAAGTAATAACCATATTTTTTCTAACGTATTGCAACTATATGGATAGCTGGAGCTGTTGTTATTGAGGATCCATATATTTCCCCCCCATTTTTTGGGGTTGAACAGCAGGTGCGACGTGGGGAAAGGGGAGGGGAGGGGAGGGGACTTGTCGGTTGAAGTCGAGCCGCAATGTATTGGAACAGACGGACACTGACAGGGGAAACATGGAGGTCGAATGAAATCGCACCATTCGAAGCGAAAGTTTCATTGACAAGCCCGCCGCGAGTGCATCGCAGAAAAACCTCCACCGATTTTGACGCGCTGCCGTCTCACAAGTTACAGCTAGGCCTCCTTGGCTGTTGTGACGCTCATTTCCTTTTGATAAACTGTACGCAAGTTGAACCAGCCATTGACAAGTTTCATACGCAATATGTTTACGTAATTTATATTGCCGATTTGTCAACCTGGAACCACAAGTTAGTGGAGCATATTCTAGAGATTGCGCAGGTATTGGACCCACATTGGTGTCGACGAGCCTACGCACCAACTATTTCGAGGCTGCAATTCAGGGAGGGGCCTTCTGGTTCTGCGGAGAACGAATGGATAGAATTGCTTGCGAGGCTTCTCAACAATTTACAGTCCTAGTTCACGTACGTGTTACATCTGCAGCTAAGGGTGTATTGTATCATGGTGTCCACGCGTGCAGCAACTTGCACGAAGTGAAGCCGTTCCCAGTTGGCTTGTGTGAGGCGGATGTTTTTCCGCCAAAATCCTCCTCCGATTGATCCGAGTGCAACAACAAACATACATGGCTAGTAACCGGATGCTCCTCCACCGTCCACCTTATGGCGTGTGCAAAGTGCGCAAAAACTCGACGTCGAGCAACGTCGGTGAATTTCCACCCTTGGATCAAAGGTTCCAACCGTCAGGATTCACCGACGTTCCTCGACGTCGAGTTTGTGCAGCACTTTGTACACGCCATTAGTATTGCCGGCTCACAATCGGCCTTCCGGTTAACGGTTTTCCATCGTTTCCGGGGCCCCACCCACCGAAGGTGTTTTGTCTTGGCAGAGAGAGCGGGGTCCGTTCACATTCTAGAACACTCGTGCAGCTACTATTTGAGCGAGGATGAATAAGTTCTTCATTCACGATTCGCTGTCAATCTGGAAACGTTACAGCTTCACCGTAGCGCATTGGTCCCTTAACTACTACGAAAGAGGGCCAAGGCCACGCTTGAAGGGATCCGACTGCGGGAACGTCCCCTGCTCCAGTCTGCAAGCCCCGTTAGTCCGCCTGTACTAACCTCGTCAGGACGGACTCTTTCGTCCGGGCCTGATTTCCAAGTCGCACCACCATATTCAACATCTTTCTGGTTTCCAGGGCACAGGATTTGAAGAGCAGTACTAGTAAGTTGTACGACCGACGCTTCTCAATCCGTGACGGGTTTACTCAGCGACTCGTCAGTAATTCACCGCTTTGGCCGCTTAGGGAAGTCTGCGTGCTGGGGGTGCTCATCCACGTCTGGAAGGATTTTGTAACTGGCAGTTACCAGCTGCTGCGATACACGGCGTACCGCACGGGTCTCTTCAAAAGCTCCACCAGAGTCTGCGCAGCCGCCGGGATTCCCCCCACTGCCTGCCGCGCGGTCTGTTCGGACTTGCGATCGCTGTGCTGCTGCTGCTGCTGCTACTGCTACCAGCCATTGTGAGCGCCAGCGGTCGCGATGCACCGCCTCCGACGTCGCCTCAGGCCCGCGCCAGAATCATCATGTCTCAAGGAAGAGTGGCGTGCGTTCGAAAGCCCACGTGCAAGTGCAACTAGTACTAGTACCACTACCACTAGCACCAGTTCTGCTAGTAGTACTACTACTAGCAATCTTACCCCGCGGCGGCGGCGTGTGACGGCAGCGTCGGCGGTGCGTCTTCTGCTCCTCACGTCATGTCTCGCGGCCGTCTCTTTCGCTCGCACTGCCAGTGCCGGACTTCAGAATTATGCTGTCACTCTCCACCCCTCCCAAGGTACCACTACTACTGCTTCTCTCGTCTCTCGTCTCTCCAACCCTAGCGTCATGAGGCTTCGTGGTGGTGGCATCTTTCCCATCGTTCTTTCACATCCTTCAAGGCGTGTAGTTTAAGGGTTCCACTGAATCGCGTTCCTGCCTGCCAGGCAGCCGCACCCACCCACCGGCTGTGCTGGCGTCACATGGTTACTCACTCACTCACTCTCGCCCACTCACTCACTCTCACTCACTCACTCACTCACTGCTCATGATGCTCCCGCCTCTCTGTTCCTCTCCGCCCGCCCACTCTGGTTCTTCACTTGACTTGAGACGACTAAAAGAATCTCCTCTCTTTTCTTCTGTCTGCTGTTTCTCAGTCTTCTCAGTCCCCACCCCACCCCACCCCATCCCACCCCACCCCACCCTACCCTACCTCACCCCACCCCGTTACAGTCCCAGCGCTGCAGGACTGCAAGTCCTCGTGGGGCGTGGCGATGCAATGGGATTTAGGAGACGACTGCATGACAGCGTACTTCGACCCAATCGAAGACCCCTGGCCCAAGCCCAGAGGCATTCTCTGTGATGACGACGGCATGGTCATCACACTGTGAGTGCATGTGCACCTTACTGGCCTACTACTACTTCTCCTGAGGGACCTTCGACTCTTGTCGAGTCAACTCAGAAATAGTCTCTGTCTCCGTCTCAAAAGCCGGTTCTGTGCTATGACTCTATAAGAACGTCATGTTCGGTTGTACTGTGAGTGATGGGGCTTGCTAGGTACGTGCCAGTGCGGAAGTGCCAGGCAGGCAGGGTAGGGTACCGCAACATCCCCTTCCCTTCCCCCCTTCTTTCTCCACCCTTATCCCTCTCCCCCCTGTTTTTGTCTTGTTCTTATGTTCCTGCTTTTGTGATCGCATCTTGTCATCCTGGGTGGGTCGCTGATGCTACAGTGGCTTTGGCATGGACTCGCCCCTCATGCTCTTCCTTGCTCTGCCTATCATTTATCTTCCCTGTCACGCCATCTCTGACAGGAGCATGTCAAACGAGCATTGAGTCACCTCGTGCTCTTCTCTCCGCTGCCTTGTGTCATCCCCACAGGAGCATGCCAAACGAGCAACTCCAAGGGTCCCTACCTGCGTCGCTCGGCTCCCTCGCTCAGCTTGTCTACCTGTACGTGCCGTTTGAGCTACACTGTTACTCGTACCTGTTCGGGTCACTTCTGTCGAGGGGGGTCCACTGGAGGAGGGGGGGATTGAGGTGCCACAACAGTCCTTTGGTTCCCTCCTTCAGTCGGCCTGTGCGGTTCGAGTTACACTGTCTGCTCTGCACAGACCTGTTCCGTTCTGTTGAGATGAGACGAGAGCACCCACAGGGGAATTGCCACAGGGGGCTCGCATGAATGGAAAAGGCAATTGCGCTGCCCTGGAGAAACTGTGCGGGAGCACACCAAATTCTTCTGAAGCACACCCGTTTACAGGCCCTGCTGGTGGTGGCTGGTTGGGATTTCAGTTTATGGTTGGCTTGACACACTCTTTGCTTGGGCTCTCAGTCAACATACTGTAACACTTGGCCCTGAGTTATGCACGGGGCTTTGTTCTCTACCAGCAGCTAGTAACCCATGTACGGTACCAACCAACCAACCAACCAACCAGCCAGCCACTGACATAAGCTCGCCACCACCGCTGCATGCTGAACACTGTTGTGTAACGATTCGTCACCACCACCTTGAATGTGCCCCCTCTGTCCCCTTCTGCCCCTCTGCTCCCCTCTGCCCCTCTCTTCTCCCCTCTGCCCCTCTCTGCTCCTCCTTGCCCCTCTCTGCTCCCCTCTGCCCCCTTTATCCCCCTCTACCCCCCACTGTCCCCTCCTCCCCTCCACCCCAACCCCACCCCACCCTCCCACTTTCCACTGCATCACGTGCAGGCAGTTGCATGGCAACTCGTTCACAGGATCCGTCCCAGCGACCATCGGACAGCTCACGAATCTCCTCGTCCTGTCCGTACCCAATCCACCCACCAGCACCGACCCGACCAGCCTCTCTGTTTGTCCGTCCGTTGCTCACCTTTCTCCGTTCCGATCACCAGCAGCAGCAGCAGCACACCACTATCGTGCTACCAGAAAACAGTACCCTGTGCTGTGATGTGACGTGCTTGACATTGGATAACCAGAGAGAGCCTTGACTGCCTTTCTTCCTCCAACCCCATTCAACGGCTAACCAGGTCTCTTCAAGGCAACAAGCTCACAGCCATTCCTGACTCTCTAGGCGACCTGACTCAGCTCAGAGAGCTGTGAGTACTTTGTTCACTGCTACACCTACCAGTGTTTTCACTCACCTGCTGCTACAGCTGACTTTTCTCTCTTTCTACTGCTGCTACTGCTGTGTAGATACCCCTAAGCGTCCGTCCCTGCACTACCCTCAACTGACCTTGTTTTGTTGGAATTTGAACCCTGACTCGTTTCCCCCACTGCCCCCTCCCGTCCCGTGTTTCGCCCCAATCCCTATCCTTACGCCTGGCAGCAATTTGGCGAGAAACGAAATAGCCGGCACTGTACCAGCATCACTTAGCAAGCTGCAGGCTCTAAACCAACTGTACGTACGGGTTTTACATTGAATCATCTCTGGCCGACCTCTCCTCTCCTCTCTCCTCTCGCCTCTCTCACGACTTGAGGCGGGTCAAAGCTAGACTGTACGTAGGCGTAACTCACAACTCTCAGTGGAGTCGCTCTTTGCAGCCATGGGGCTCACCACTCAAGAAGGGAAGTGCAGCGCTGGAGGCTCTCCGACTGATGCCTTTGAGAAGCTGCTCTCTCTGCCCAAAGGGGGAGTCGCTCTAGCTGTCAACGCCACTGGCACAGCTGGTGCATTGCGTTCACGTGCAACTAAAAAGCCTGCTGTAAGTGCCGTGCCAGTGTGCTTCTGTTCTGTGTCAGTGCGTTCTGCGAATTCTTGAAAGTGACTTGGGTACGGACGGAAACATGGACAAAGGAATGGCTGTGAGAGGCTGGCAAGGCATGTGTATAAGGTGTGCGAATGATCGTGCAAGGCTGAACGTGGGCAAAGGCTGGGCGACGTTTGTTGCATTCTCACTCTTAACCTGACGATTGTCTGACTCTCTTCCTGCCCATTTATTCCACATATAACTCTGACTACATGCCTTCACACCCTTAGCTTTCCTTGTTGCATCCGTGACCACCCATCCAAGCCAAGTACTATCCCAGCCGTGGCTTGGAGCCTATGCAGGTGCCCTTATAAAAAAAATCATAAGTGGATATCCGTTTTTTTTTTTTTTCCTCTCTCTCTCTCTACATTTTTCATGGTTCTTGATCGAACATGCATGCAGGTAAAGTACTACCCCATCCAAGGGTTTGAGCGCACGCAGTTCAAGGGGTATGTGGGGCTCATGCTGGCAGTGCAGCGGCAGCCAGTGGTGGTTCACATCGAAGCCTCTGCTGCCACATTCGCCAGATATGACGGGGTGAGTGCCAGTCATGTGTGCGTGTCATGGCGATGACACGCACCTATAATAATAGTAATAATAATAATAATAACAATAGTAATAATAATAATAATTATTATTGTTATAACGGGGAATGAATTAGTATATGCTGGCATGACCACAACACCCTCCCTCAGTCAGATTTCCTCGTTTTGCTGTTTGTGCTTTCCATGCTCTCAGCTAGACATGCGATAATTCCGCATCTCATTGTTTTGCTATTTGTGCTTTCCGCTCTCTCTGCTAAACATACAGAGGTTTCCTCCCTTAGCGGTGTACTGGTTGTGTTCCCTGTGCTCTCTGCCATGGCAGACATACAAGTACCAGGACCCAGCTTGCTATACAGGCGAGCTGAACCACGTGGTGCTTGTTGTTGGCTACTCCGTTGCCGTGGGGGACAGCGTGCAGAAGCGTATTCCCCCTCCGTTTTGGATCATCCGCAACTCGTGGGGCGCGGGGTGGGGCTATAATGGCCACATGCGCATGGACATTCAGGGAGGGGATGGCGTGTGTGGCATCAACGTGCTGCCTGGCATCTACCCCATTGTCAAGAGTAAGGCATCGTACCCATTTGTCAAAAGGTTGAGGCATCTACCCCGTTGTCACAAGCAAGGCCCATCAAGGGCACTTGTGAAATCACCACTTTATTGTGTCATGCTGGATATTTGCAACTGCACGATGCCGAATCCTCTACCAACTTCTAACCATACAATCTCGACTTTGCATGTGACTCCTTTGATTCCCGTGTAGTTCCCGGGGATCCATGTGGCAAGAAGAGTTTCAAGGTCGATCGAGACGGTGAACCCGCTTTCAACCCGTGCGGTCGCTTCACATGCAAGGCCCTCGCTAAGAACAAGGGCAACTCCTGCAACAAGTGCATCATCCCCAAGTCGCCCATACAGCCCTTTGTGGAGGTCGCCAATGGGTTTGGCGCCAAGACATGTGTTTACGGTGAGAGACAAGTGTTTGCAGTACGATGCAACATACGTTCATAATGATGTGCTTGCCGCACACATTTGTGGCTCTCCACCACAAGACAATGTGATTTGAAAGGTTCATCTTTAGTCCTTTGAGGTGCTCATAGCTTGTTCATGTAGCACAAGAGAGCCCATGTAGCCCAATCCTCTCTTTCCCTTTCCGGATTGCAACTGTGCACGTGTCCCATGTCGTGCTTGAGGCACCCATAGATATTCTCCCTTTTGAGGCGCCTAAAAAGGCACCCATAGATATCCTCCCTGTGCTGCCGTCCCCACTCGCACTTCTTTCTTGTCCCCCTTCCACCACTGGTGGCACGGCGGCAGTGCACTTTTGAGTCGACTCAAAAGTCAACTCGCAGCAGTACATGTGTCCCGAGTAGTCCGTGAGGCATTCCTAGATTATTCCTGTACTGCCACCGCTTACACTTTTCTCCAGTGGGATGTGTGCCGCTCACTTCCGAGAATCCATTATTTCCCTCTACCGCACCTCCCACGCTTCTTGCCAGTGGACGTGCCGGTGGTCCTCCCATGCTTCAACAAACCCGTCACTTCCCTTCCCCGACCCTCTCACACTTCTTTCTCGTCCCTCGTCCACCGCTCGTGGCACTGTGGCAGTGGACGTGTGTGGGTCGTACTTCAAGAACCCCTGTGCCGTGGGCACATGCATCAACGATGGCAAGGGCTCCTACTCCTGCATCTGCCCTCCCAACCACGTCCCCAGCCGAACCATCGATGACTTTCCCACCTGCGACCCAGGTACGGTCAAACGCTGCTCCTCCCCACCTGCCTGTCACCCACCCAGATGCTTCTACCCCAGTTCCCTTGCACACGAAGGTATCCCAAGGAACAAGTTTTTTTTTTTTTTAATGAATAATAATAATTCTTTTTCGACGGTAGGACCATGCTCACAGTCATGACGTTTGAGGCTCCTTGAGAAGCCAACAGGACCCCATGTGCCTAGCAAGAGGCATGACTCTACGCGGCAGCAAGAGTTGCATGGAGAGGAAAAAGAAACAACAAGTGTGTTCTGTGTCTCTGTGTTTCTTCCCGCTCCCTCCCCCCTGTCCAGCCGGCAGCTTAGCTACCAGCTAGTCCGTCTGCTCCCTCCCTCCTGCACAGATGCCTTGCATTCTCTCTCCCTCTCCGTCACTCCCTCCCCTCTCTCCAGCTGGCAGCTTAGCCACCAGCTTGGCAGTGAGTGGCAGCAACTGGGCCTGCGCCGACGTTCATCCCCTCATGGGCCTCACGCTCGCCCAGTTCACACAGCAAAACGGGGTGAGTTGTTGTGGGGCGCGGGCATGCATGGGAGAGGAGAACGAGGGTGAAAGGGATGGGAGGGGATTGTGGGTTGAGTCAAGGGGTTGGATTGGGCAGTGGGTGGGCATGCGCAACGGATGTGCGTGTAAGGGGAAGGCCGGGTGTGTTTACTGGGTGAGGGAGAGAGAAGAGAGGACTTAGCGGGTGTGGGGTTGTGCATGCGTGTGTGCAGCAAAAAGCTAGACCAGGGTGTCCCGTTACAGGGCCACCTTGATTGTGCGTATAGTTCCTTTCTCCTCTCGCCTCCTCCTTTGGCTCCTCCTACCTACCCCCCTCCTGTTATCTCTCTCTGCGGCTGACTTGATTGGCTCTCTGCGCCATACAGGCTATCAACTGCAACAAGCCGCTGCTACTGAATGCGGTGCTCCAGCTGGGCGGCTCTCCTGTCGTCCCCTGCACTGCCTTCTTCTACGCCCTCTCTGTGAGCTCTCATATTTGGTCCAACTACCTTTCTACTTACAGCTGGACTTGAGTAGATCAGGTGGTGAGGCCACTCCACTAAGCAGGAACCAGAGCACACGGACAGTGGGGTCGGTCAGTGGAGTCTGGAGTCACTGCTCTGACAGGGCACTTCTCGTGCATTGAGGTGTATTTTGAGGCGGCTCAAAAGACAGTGGGGTCAGTGGAGTCACTCTCTCCCCTGACAGGGTACTTCTCTTCTCTGTGCTGTCAGGGCTTTTGGGTCAGAAGTAGAGTCACTTTGAGATCACGGGAGGTTCTGCGGGTGCTGGGCTTACGGGGCTATGGGCAAGCTTTGTCGTACAAGTAAGTTGTGCATCCGTTTGAATTGAACGAGCTAATGGTAGACTGTTATGAGCTAATTGTGTCACAGCATCGCAGTAACTGCTGCTGATCACCACAATAACCCCTCTTCCCCTCCTTCCTGAACAAACGAACTTGGCATGGCATGGCAATCATGAGCTTCACATTAGCATCTCATCAGGATTCAGCACAGCAACACATGCAGCTTGCATGTTGAAACCACGAGGGGCAATCAGCCGACTCTAAACTCCTCTCCCCTTGTTCACCCCTCCAGGGCGACACGTGTGAGTCCATCGCCTGGAGCATTGGGCGATCCGAGTCCGACCTTCTCGAGCTCAACCCCGGGCTGAGCTGCCAGCAGGGTATCAAGGCGGGGCGATCCTTGTGCGTTGAACGCAACCCCGAGTTCGCATTCAAGGTCCCGGAGTGCCTCAAGTTCACCACGCTCACAGCACAGGACTCGTGCGAGCGGCTGCTGGAGAGGACGGGAGGAACCACATCGGTGGGGGCATCTGCTTGGGACGAGCTCTACAGGAACAACCCTGGGCTCGTCTGCTCGGGCACTGTCCCTACCGCTGCCTCTGCTGTCGGCAGCAGTGCTGGTGTGCAGGTGAGCGGTGGACGGAAGGGAAGGTGGGTGGGTGGGTCGAATGGGGTGGTGAAATGCAGAGCATGGGAGGCGGAGAGTCTGTTCACAGTTAGTGGGTGGTTGGCATGGCAGGTTTGAATAGCGCGCTTTGTGTAATTGTTATATCCAACTCGTGAGACTCGTGTATTTTGGTACAGTATGTGAGTTTGGAGGTGGTTTGACTTGGGCTTGGGCAGCGTTGAAAACCGGTAACCTGTTGCTTGGTAGGTACCCGACTCACATGTGCTGCAGTGTCTTACGTCACGACGAAGCCTCATTCTATTGTATGGGAGACATTGCAGCTAATGGTCGCTGCAGTAATCTGTCTGAATGCTTTGAGAGCATGATGACATCAATTCGGTCCCAGCCATTTTCAAAAGACACCTCTACGATTCTTAGTTGAGGTGTAACCAGCTGGGTGAAACGGCAACTCATGCTCCCTTCTTTAAGATCCGTCTCATGTTGTTGATTGACCTTCACTCGGTTTGTTTTTCCCTTAAGTTCTTGCCTCAAATTTTGAGGCATGAGCTTGAAGCTGACACTTAACACCTAGTTACCCCGGATTTTCTCTGACTTGGTGCGCTTGGCCTAAACCTGAGCAAGGTTGAACGCTGGGCAGTTGGGGATAGTGGTGAAAAAACGTTAGGCATGGCTTCGGGCGCGAAAGCCCAAGCACTCACAACACTTTTGGGGGGTTCGCTGAGTTAGCAAACCTCTGAAGCTGCCCTGTGGTTGGTGGCCCTAGTCCCGTATACCAAAGAGAACAATCTTCAAGTCTCCGTAGTTCACATCTCAGCAATAGTTAGTAAGGTTGACCTGTGCGATCCTCGAAATGAGCCACATGCTTTAAAGCCAGGGTCACACGTACTACGAGTGTTTTGCAGTTGAAGGTGAAAATTGGGCTGTGATTGGTTGGCGAGGTGTAAGTTTTGAAGTGGGGAGAAGCGAGGGGTGCGAAGCGAACTCAGATCGCTGAGTGTACCCGAACCTTCTAGGCTTGGAAACTTGGTTCGGTACCCAACCAAGAACGCCCCGAACTCAACAAAAGTCACAAGTACCCAAAAGTGTTTTGCAAATGCTTCTGGGGGCACTGGCGGGATGTGTCGCAAGCAGAGTTTTCAACCCAACCAGAGAGGACTTCGTCTGCATTAACTAGGTAACCTAGCTTCAACTGTTTTGCAGTTGATGGCTCCTTAGCTTACATGAGACCCTGGCTTTAACATTCCCCGTCATCCTTTCTCCACTCCTTCCACAAATTTTTCCTTTCCCTCTCCTCTCCTCCTCCCACTACATCTCGCTGCTACCCCAGGTGTGCCTCAAGGCGGAGTACTGGCCATTTACACTCGGCAGGTGCACCAAGGGCCGGGCCAAGACGGTGTCGCCGTCATTGTCGTGCTCCGGTGCTTACAGCTTCTATGGTGGCACCATGACAGCTGCGGCTGCCAAGTTCACCGAGTATAACGGCAATGCATGTGCCAAGAACGTTGGAGCCAAATATATGTGTGTGCCACGCTAGTGTATCTTGGGTTGGGTGTCCTGTCCGCTTGTTTGTCATTCAACTGTACGTTATCCATGCACCTACGAACCTATCGAAAAACCACACAATGTTTCTTTGGGGGTATGCATGGTGCTATAAGATGACTCCATTGGAACCTCCTTATCAGAGCAATGTAAGCTGCCTCATGCGCAGGGTCTCCTTATCATAGGGGCTGTGAAATTGTACTAGGAATAGAAGGTGTCCAACAAATGGGCAGATGAAGCTGTACAGAAAGGCTCCACCAGTGCCATGCAATGCAACCTATGGAAATGTTTGACAATAGCAAGCATTGACAACTAGTCAAGTATAGAAGGCACTAACTAACAATGTCGTTAGCGATTTCGATATCTATCTCAAGAGTACATAGTAACTATTTCTGGTGCGCAACTCAAGTTGAGATGCGTGCAGTGAGAAACACTCTGATGATGATTTTCTTTTGAGAACCTATGCTGTTCCCAAGTAACAACGACCAATCAGGGTTAGCACACAATCGCACGCTCGTGATCGTACGATTTAACGGAGCTGTTGTTATGAGTCTTTTATTCGTTCTAGTGGTGGGCTGGAGCCGTCTCATCGAAGCCGAAGTCGCACAACGCAATGCCAGTGGGTGGAGGCGGTGTCTGAACGAAAGCGACATGAAGAAATCGAGCACTGTTTGGCTGCAGCCGTCGAGAGACAAAACTGTGTGGATAAATTTAATAACCGAAGGCGATTTAGGCCCTGTTCGGGAGCCCCGAAACAGAGGATGAGCAAGCTGCTCTGTACCGAACCTGAAGAGGAATACCGACAACACACCAGTTGCATGATTGAACAGTGGCGACAGCTGTGCAATCAGATTCGCCAGCTGGAGAAAATGACAGACATGTGCATAGTCAACGCCCCAATTTGTTCAAGAACGACAACCACCGCAAGCCGGGGGTCAAGATGCCAAATCACACCTACCATCTCTAGTGCTCTCTCAACTTCCCATTTCCTCTCCATCCCATAACATAATTTCCAAAACGTAGCAACCCTAAACACTGACATCTTTTCCAAAACGTCGTAGTTGCAGCTGATTGCGAGGGCTTAGCCGCCCTGGGTAATCAAGAAGTAGAAACCCAGATGCCCAACAAATATTCTTGACCTCTGATTCTCACTTTCTCCTCGCTAGAGAATGGAGAGGAGAAAGTGAGGACACTTTTGCCTTTGATTACTGTTCAGTCGATGGACTGTATGTCAGAATCCCAGTCACTAGACCACTGGGATAAAAGGGCTTGTTAAGTAGCGGGTCAGTGCGCCCATAACCCCCCAGGACAACGAGCCTGTAACCCTTCCCTAGGATCAATCGGGGATCACCAGTGGACCTCTGACACCCCCCCGCACTGAGATGCCCGAAGTGCACACACTGGGATTCGAACCCGAGACCTTCGCTCTGATACCATGTCAGAATCCCAGTCACTAGACCACTGGGATAAAAGGGCTTGTTAAGTAGCGGGTCAGTGCGCCCATAACCCCCCAGGACAACGAGCCTGTAACCCTTCCCTAGGATCAATCGGGGATCACCAGTGGACCTCTGACACTGTAGGGGTAGCGGCTCGGAATCTCGAGCCGCTGCAGAGGAGAAGAAGAGGTTGATGTTTCCAAACCTCGAGGTTTGGTGGCGAAAGTGGTCGCATGGGGGTCACACGCGATTTTTGGGCTTCCGAGCCTAGTACTGTGCATCCTCTGGATCTGGGGTTGCTCTTCCTCTCTTGCTCCCGAACAGGCCCTTAGGGACAAAGGCGATAGCACCTTGCCAGCATCCACCATCTGTTCAGTGTGCTGCCACCTCACAAGCAGTATTTTTTTTTTCGATCGTGGTTATTCTTTGTTGGAGAATCGAGTTTCTGCCGCCCCAGCCCTTTGCACACAAGCAGCAGCAAGGGGGAATGTCGGCGATGAATCAGAGCTTCGGGAAGTACTTCGAAAGTTCCACCACCAATCAGATTTCAGCCGAAGACTCGATATAGTTCAAAGCTGCCTTCAAACCGAAGTGTTGGCAGTTTCTACAGGTTTCTACACATCAGAATCAGCTATAACAGAAATATCCAGAGTTTTCTTATTCATGCACCTCATGTGGCACTCAAAGTCACTCAAGGTCCATCCAATCTAGATTGTGCCCAAGTTACCAGGGAAGTTACATTGTCTATCAGCCTAGTTTGAGCTTTCAATCTGTCTTGTTTGTGATGCCTAAAGTTGTGCTTTAGTGGGCTTGTTAATCTTGAACATAGTGAAGTTTTACCTCATCCAGTCAATTCCAGCAGCCCTGCTAAGACTTTCCAGCCAAGTTTCCAGCCCTCCAGTAGTCACAGCTACTCTGTTTTACAAGTTGGTATCAGAGCTTGTCGTTTCGATCAACCTAGCCCACCACGTTCCTATCCTAGCACCATACGAACATGGCGGGAGACAATCCATCTGGTCCTGCACTCCAGCCAGCCGGAGGAGCTTCAGAGTCAACATCAGCAGCTACTGGATTAGTGGAAGCAGTTGCACCAGGCAGTCCTTCAACAACATACTCACCACTCACCTCCTTCATGCCTAAGCTTCACCTCCCCAAGTTCAATGGCAAAGATTTTCCAACATGGGCAACTCAGTTTGAGCTCACTGCATCCCTTCTGGATCTGTGGCCTTACTACACTGGAGAATCAGCCAAACCAGCAGCAGATGCTTCAGAAGCTGAAAAACGACTTTACGAACGACGCAACAAGGAGGCCTTCCTCTACCTACTCAATAGCATTCACGAGCAGCAGTTGAAGTCGCTCCTGCCCTGTTCTACCAAGGCAAACAGTGCAGAGGAAGCATGGAGCCGACTGAAGACTATGCACCAGTCAAAATCCGAGAGCAGCCAAGCCGAGATGTGGAGCCGCTTCATGAATCTGAAGATGGAAGAAGATGAATCAGCACAAGCCTACCTACAACGAGCTGAAGCAATGCTGGAGGAAGCAGCAGCGATCGGCTTGGAGATTCCAGAGTCTCTTTTCAAGACCGTCATCCTCACCGGCCTTACACCGGAGTGGGACACTTTCCGTGCAACACTACAAGCGCTCCCGCAGTCAATGAAGAGTCGTGCGTTCATCTTTGAGGCCCTTGTCAACGAGCAGCAGAGTCGAGACCTTGCACGGAACAAGCGGAGTGACGAAGGTGCGTGGAGTGCTGCAGCAGCCACAAGATATGGCAACCAATTCCAGAGGCAAGGAAATTTCAGCCCAAACCGCCCTCAACCCTACTACGGTACGAAATTTCAGTCACCTTCCAACCCATACAAACCCTCTCGTTTTCCTCAGTCAAGTCCTCCCTATAAGTCCAGTCACTATGTCCAGCCAAGGCCTTCGATTCCCAATCAATACCAGCCTAGGAATGCAAGAGTCAATATGCCAAGAGTCAATAATTTCAGCCAAGCCCCGAATGCTAAAAAGTTTAATTTTGAGTGTTTTTGTTGTCATGAGTGGGGTCACCCGTGGTATGCTTGTCCTAAGAAGCCTCCTAATTGGGTCCCCCCACCTCAGCTACTATCTGAAAAAGGTAAGGCAGCCATAGCAAATATAGCAAGTCATTCTACAAGTCAAGATGAGTCCAAAGAGTCCGATGGTCCTGTCCTTTTTAACGCTGCTACTTGCATGCACGTTTTCTCTACTAGTAGTGAGGAGTTTATTCTTGATAGTGGCTGCTCTGAAACCATGACTCCCTATCAGTCCATTCTCAAGGATTTTCAGCCCTCATATGACTCAAAAGCTGTGACTCTTGCTGATCTTGGCAAAGTACCAATCAAAGGAGTCGGCAAGCTTGAGTTCGAAAAGGATGGTAAGTCATTGTGTGTCAATAAAGCTTTGTTTGTTCCTGATTTGGGAGCAAACTTGCTCTCAGCCGGACAACTCGAAGAGAAAGGTGCCTCCGTTCTCTTGCAAGGGGGGAAAGCCAAAGTGTGGGACAGTGCAGGAAATCTGGTGGCTGAAGGCGAGCGTACCGGGCGGCTCTACAAGATGAAGTTGGAGATTAAGCGCGGTGCTAGCAACACGAAGAACGACGTTGTCTCGCTTCCCGCTGTTTCAACCGATCAAGTCAACAACAAAGGGAGTATCTCCCAAACTGAGGTATGGCATGCACGCTTGGGGCACGTGGGAGTGCAAGCATTGAAAGAGTTGGTAACTCACAAGAGCGTGGAAGGATTGAGTTTGAATGAAAGTGCAGTCAAGTCCCTTTCTTCCGTTCCATGTCCATCTTGTGTGGAAGGTAAACTAGCTAGAAAGCCATTCTTCCCTTCTAAGTCTCAGTCAAGGGACCTCCTAGAGTTGGTCCACACTGATGTCTTCGGCCCCATGCGAGACCCTACTCGAAACGGTAAGAGATATTTGGTGTCTTTCATTGATGACAAGAGTCGTTTCTCGTGGTCCTTTTTTCATCAACACCAAGGATGAAGTTCACAAGTGTTTCAAGCAATGGCTAGCACTTGTTGAGAGAGAGTCAGGGAAGAAGTTACTCACCTTGAGGTCGGATCGAGGAGGTGAGTACATGGGGAAAGCGTTTCAGGGGGAGTTGTTGGCATTGGGCATCAAACAACAGTTCACTTGTCCCTATAGTCCTCAGCAAAATGGAGTGGCAGAGAGGTTTCATCGCACTATCCAGGCTATAGCTACCACTTTCCTTCAGTTCAAAGGCCTTGACAAGCTCTGGTGGGGTGAGGCAATCACTATGGCAATTTATGTTCGCAACAGGAGACCCACAAGGCCCTTACCGGAAGGTGTAACGCCATATGAGGCTTGGTTTGGAGTTAAACCAGATCTGTCTATGCTTCGTGTTTTTGGTTCCATGGCCCAATACCGTGTTCCAGATGCAAAGAGACTCAAGCTGGACAGCAAAGCTCATTGGGGCCTCTTCATCGGCATGAGCAATGAGAGCAAGGGATGGGTCCTTTGGGATCCTGTCACCAAGCGAGAAGTGGTTTCAAGGGATGTTGTCTTCTA